AAATCTCTGACATCCGAAGCATCTGAGGGGCTCTGGGGGTATAAGGCCTGTGTTGGAACATGCCCCAAATGCCAAGATCAATTTTCTCTGGAATCTGTGGGCCAGATTCAAGAAGGTACTTACGAGTGTTTTTCTTCTTAGCGCCTTCATAGCGGTTACGTCAGTATTCAGGTAGGCACACTAAGAAGAAAAGCCTTCGTAAGTTTGCTCCGTCGGCTAAGAGTGCTGTCGATCATTCGTAGCTTTACGTGAACTGGATATAACTCAAATTTTCTCTACTACACAACACGGAGGATCGATTGTAATATAAACAAAAAATTATAGTTGGCGAATCTGGTGAAGAAGAGACCTTCGTGTTAGTTATATATGCTTTCTCTGCTTTAAATTTGTAGTAAATATGTCTGTTATGATATTAGAATTAGTTTTATAATAGCAAGATATTAAACCAGTAGTTATTATATAAATTAACACTAGTGAACATGAAATATGAGAGAAGGTGGCTGGTGGGAGCATTTACTGTCACCAAATGCCCCACTGCACAAATGATGTTAGGTAAGAAGGGTAAAAACTTCAAAAACTTCTCTCATTGAATACTTAAATATTTACAAGATGGTACATTGTGTTTGTGAGGATACATAACATGGTGTTTACATTCTTGTAAAGCCACTAATACGCATAGCGTTTCGGGCAGGTCCTTAATCTAAGGCATAATTAATACAAGGTATAATTTAACATCTTTATTACTGATTTTTTTTATTAAGAAAGTTAGGCATACACAGCAATGTGCTGCTACCCTATTCTTCAACTGGAAGATTCTTCAACTATTCCATTTTTCAACTGGAAGATAAAATACATTGTTCATAAAAAAACTAGCTATAAGTTCATATAATACTCCCATCTCACAGGATGGTTAGGCATACATGAAATCAAGGGAGAAAATACCAGCCTCAATACAAAAAACAAATGAACTCTGACTAAACAACAATTTCACGATTTTCACAAGAGGTAAGCACTGAATCATGGAAACATTATATTATAAATACTCTTACCAGTTTCTACAAAACTCCTGTCAAAAAATGTATTTTTCTAACATGCTTAGGTATACACAGCAATGTGCTGCTTCCCTATTTTGTATGAAGGACGACACAGTGAAGATCAAAAACCAGCTACAAGCTCATCCAACATCCCCATCTCACAGGACGGCCAATCATACATGGAATCCGGAGAGAACAAAATATTTAAGGCTGATCTATTAGCCTCCACTGGCAAAATCTGGGTGCAGCACAAGAATATCTTTCAATATTCCTGAGTGTATGAAGTAATTACAGAGCTCAAAGTACCTCATACCATTTGGTACGAAGTCACTGATAACAGGGCAATCACAGATATAGTGTTGGAGAGTATGTTCTCTCAAGTAGGACTGAAAACAGATGTTTTTTTCCTCCAAAAGGGTTATACACCCATGGAACCGCCTACCCGCTGAAGCTGTAAATGCCAAATTCCTGCTAAAAAAAATCATAAGACAATTGGCGGGCCCTTTAACAAGCCACCGGCTTTCTGTCCTCGTAGAGGCCACAAGATAGTTATTGGCCCCTTGGGTAAATTCAGTAAATATATACAATAATTGTCATCGCATATTCCGAGCAACAAGGACAGCTACACATTATCACTTAGAATCACGTAGGTAAAAAACAAATGTAACAAATTTGTTTACTACAATGTCGGTGCTGGCTGTAGATGTTTAAAAAACATAATTTTACTTCGAAATATACTAATTTTTTAAGAAAATTCCACGTAAATAGGGGGCAGTAGAGGTCCGATAAGCCAGCGTCGTGATTGGGTAAATCTTCAAGATAAAAATGTTGCCTTCTCTCTGATTGGCCAAACGAAACACAGTCCTCTGTCGGCATGCAGGTGAACCAAACCCAAAACCCAAATATCTTCGTAAGTTTACTTACCTGAATTGCACGTAAGCATCTTCTTAGGGCATGCTTAGGAACCTTCGTAGCAATCCTACTTACGAAGAAACACTTGGAGCTTCGTGAATCTAGGTCCGTCTTTTTCCTGTGAGTAGGACTTGTCTGGTTCCCTGCTTCGTGGATTTTACTTGGTATCTTTCTGCTGACACCACATAATTTAGCTTCTCGAAATACTTTAAGACCATGTGCAAGAGAGAGTGGTGTACAATGATTTTCCTTATTTTGTCCTATGGTTTGAGCTCGTCGCATTTCCTGTAATTTTTAAGAATCGTTACAGCTGTCTCGTCTTTGGGCCTTTGAATATATTCGCCTCTGAGGTTTGGCTTTGCTCTGATCTTGAGCTGGGAAGTACTCCTTTTCAAGGTCCACTACAGTGGCGTACGAGAACTTACCTTCAACATGCTGCACCTTGAAGACTAGCAGTGCGGATTTTGTCTGGGTAGATGGAATGCTAATCGGTAGAGGCCTATGTTCTAGATAGGTCGTAATGGAGTGGTTCTTCCTGTTGGATTTAGTCACAAGACGCCAATCGCCATCACTGTCGGAACTTGTACTGAAAAGAGTCATCCTTATGTGATTGGAAGCAGCAAAGTTGGTTCATACACAATTAATCTGGTGGTCCATTCTATCGTTCGGATGCTGACTGTGGGGTGATGTGCCTGTCGTGTGATGGTGACGTTCATGTTCACTAATGTGTCCCATTCTTCAACTGCTTTTCTAAGTATTGTAATAGCTGTGGAATTTGCATGTAATGTAGCTGCTGTCGTTGGATTAATGTTGAGTTTGATGCACAGGGCTTCAGTTGCTTCACATTCCAGTAAGTAATGCAATAGTGGCGCCTCTGCATCTGTTCCACAGATATGACACTCTAACTATTGGGTTTATTACCTCCCAGTAGCACTTGTAACTAAGTCTGAGTCTGTGTATGGCTACTGCAATGTCTCTGGATAGCTTTTTGTCAGGCTTGAAAGAATAGTACCCATTGGCTGGTTCGTACCACTTCACAGTGGATCTCCCTTCCGCTACTTTGGCTCTGTGTCGACCTTTGATAGTTGGGAGTATTTTCTTCTTGATTCGCGCCATAATTTTTGAAAAACTTGGAGGTATTTTAATCTGTATAACAGGTAGAGCCGCTGGAGTTTTTGCTATTGAGTCTGCCTTTCATTACCTTCTATGCCAATGTTACTTAGTATCCAATTTAGGGTGATTGACAGCCCTAGATTGTGTTCTTCTTTTCCTATATATAGGATTTCTATGATGAATTGTATATTATCTCTGTACTGGCTGGATAATAATGCCTGGAGCGAAGATTTAGAGTCGGTATGAATGATGACATCATGTAAATTATTCTCAATTGCAGAATTTATGGCCTCCTTCAGGGCATATAATTCTGTTTGCAATGTTGAGCACCCACTATTTATGCTCCAGTAAGCTTCATGGTTGTTAGGGTAAACTGCTGCCCCACCAGAACCTCTTTCTTGATCAACTTACCCATCTGTGAAAATGTGAATGGTTGTAGGTCTTGAGATGGTTTTCATTTGTTGTTCTATGACTGCTTTGAGCCTTTGCAAGTCACATGCTAATTTGTTAACTGGTAATCCTTCAATTATTACCTTTAGACTCGATTCCTCCCATGGAAGAGGCTGCCGAAATGGTTCATATGGTCTATCTTCCCTTTTGTTTTTAATGGTGCATTTCCACATTCTCTAGAATCTTGACCAGGTTATCCGTCCATCCACCTGGATGGACATGTTCTATATTGATGGTTTCTGTGAAGCGATCTGTGTATGCTGTCTTTGATTGACAGTCAGGCGGTGATTCCAACAAGTTTTGCCGTTATGGTGACTATTCTTCGTTTGATCTTGTTTTGTAAGGCTGGTAAGTTGGTCTCAATTCTTAGATTCTTTCGATGCCTCCATATAGGTGCTTCCAGCATTATTCGGAGGGCATCATTTTGAGACTCTTCCAGTTTCTTCCACTGATTATCACTGCGGGATGTTGGAGCAGGAGCAGCGTAGTCAATGAGTGACCTAACTGCTTGAACGTTCTAAAGTTCAAGTTCTAAAGAATTCTAAAGTTATTATCATATTTGAAATCTTATATATCCCCCCTCCCCCCACCATTGTTACTTCCAAACTAACACCCAAATCTCTAGCTCTTAACGTTTTACAGCGCTACAGACGTTTTTTCTTATTATTAACTCTGCCGAAGCTGCTCTTGAAAGTTGTACACAATCCACTGCACGCATAGGTTCCCACTGTATGTAGACCATTTGTAACTGAACGAAATTACATTATTTTGGCAATATTTTTTGAATTTGCAAGTGAAACAAATCGCCTTCGAAATTCCCTACTTCACTTTCAGTCTAACGTAATCTAGTCAAACCTAACCTAACCTGAACTTGGCAAAACTTTACACGTGATTAAAATCTGTTCCCGCTTCTAATATTCATTTGCAGGATTTTTTCCAGTATTTCTGCTATAATTTTCACTGTTTCTCAGACCATAATAATTGTAGTTGTTGTAATTATTTCCTGACGATTATGACTGAAAAAGAGGTTCCCAACTTGGTTGTGGTAGTGGCACTTGCACATCTAATATTCTTATCGATTCATTCTGAAGATTCATTTTACTCAATTTTCCTGCAAGATTTGCTTGTTTGGACTTGCATTTTGTTTTCTGAGAATTTTCTTTTGAATTTGTTTTGCTTTTAAACTATTTCCAAAAAATGCAGAAAAGCCAGCATCTGATTCTGCAGAGTCTGCAACCTCACTTATGTTGCTGGTGTCTTTGGTCTTACCCTTGCCGACTTGGTAGACAAGGGAGGGTGTAGGACGGTCCTTTCTTGGTACCTTAAATTATATTCAGATACATAAACATTGGTATTATCCCGTTTCCACTTTCATGTGGTGGGCGGGTACCGTTATGCCTCCTAACCACATTTATCACCATGTGGTTAGTAAATTAGTGGGTGAGCAGTATAGTAAAAGAAGGGTATATAAATATAAATTTAAACATTAAAAACACTGATTATTTTATGTTATCATTGAGATACAAAATATAATATCTACGATAAACAAGCATTACACGTTCCTGCAGTCATCCACAAGCAGAAATCCATTAAGTATCTAAGAAAATAAGAACAACCTATGAGTTTGTTGAACTGAACTGTAATATTGCACATGCAGTTATAACAGCAGGGCTTGAGCCATATGAATGTATGTGTTTATTGTAGTAATGGCTGATGTTAATTTTGATCTCTCGATTTATTTTGTTGTAGGGTTCCTCATGAAAGAAAGTGGTTTTAGGGGTCCACAGGAGAGAACATGGTTAGAAAAGGAGGAATGAGACACAGAAGGTAGGAAACTACTGTTTTAGACCCCTTCAGGTACTTCTATTCTCTTCATTTCAATACACAATTTCACCAGTCAACCATTATCCATACACTCATTATTACCAAACCATCTCGGTTTGTTCTCCATAATCTTCCATTTATGAGCTTGATGGTCCACATCTCTCTATGACATTGTACTGGAGAGCAACAGATTTAAATGTCACACATATGGAAATGATGTACACATATGGAATAGAGGAACATATATGAGCTTAGTTTTAGTGTGCAGATGATGAGTGCTATGTGTTAGAAGAAATGGAATTGGAGATTAGTTTATTCATTGTTTTAACAAAACTGTTGAGAACAATTGAGACCTTTCATTTATAACGACTGGACGTAAGAGCTGAAATACGATCCTTTGAATTAATATTAGGTAAGTTAATACACATACACTGAAATACTCAAGATTATCTAGCTCCATGGCGAGACCAAAATCATTTATTGTTAACTGCCACAATTACTATTGATTATTAGTTGATGGGAGCTCCTCAAAATTCTGATAGTGTTTGATTAAAAAAAGTATTACTTTATTATGAAGCAAGGGTGATGTGCATTTTAAATATTGTGTGGATTTTACATTCAAGCAGAAATTAAAAAGTGCAACTGATTCCTGTTGTGAGTCTTACGGCCTTCCACCTTTAACGTTCTATTAGAATGTTAACAGATTTCAGAACAATCTATCACAAGAGATTTCGAAACTCAACAAATACTTCGCCCGTAATTTGCACTTAACTTACAGGAAGGCACATGAGATGTAGTTTCTAACGCCACACCGAGCAGCAACAAGACCTGCTCATCATTCCAACAAGAAAGATAATTTCATTCACTGTCCAGCACACATCTGCGAAGGGCCTTGAGAGTCTAAGGGTCGGAATTTTAGTTGCAGCCAGCGGAGGCTGGTGAAAGCTTCACGACTTGTGTTCCAGTGGTACCAGGTGGAAGAGTTATAATAGTGGTCAGTGTCGATCATCAGGCTGTTGGGTGTACAGTAACTGCAGTCCTTATACCACCAACCTCCCCCAGTCCTCAGTTTTGCACAGTTATCTTCTGCATAAAGAATAAGATTTATTTTAGCAATTAAGTCAAGCAGGCAAAATTAAGTTTACCTCAGAATCATAGGTAACTTAAATGAGGGAGATTTATATATTAGAGTAATTAATTAAATATCAGTCAATTAAATAAAATGTTTGTATGTATGTCTGTCAAAAGTAGGAAGCCAGACACTTGGGATAAACCTCCAGATATTTAATTAATATCGGCATCATTAACGACAGCATGCAATTTTCATGTTCTGAAATCAGGGATTATATAGTTCTTAGAAGTTTTTCAGTGCTAAATAATAGTAAATATTTCTAAGAGAGAGTGAGAAATAGAGAGTGAGAGAGAAAAACAGAGAGAGAGAGAAGAAAGTGAGCGAGATAACAGAGTGAATGTAGAGGGGAATGTGGATGTGGGAGAGAGGAGAGGGTAGTAGCCTCACCCAACTTTGCAGGGGAAATGGTCTGCGGTATGGGATAAACAAAGGCTGGTTGAGGTCGACCTACGTTAAAAACTTTAAGAAATATCAGCCTGTAACCAAACCAAAACCCCCTCCTCCCATTGGCCATTTTCATGGTCTGAAATTAAATCGCAGATGTAGATGGTGAGTCACAATAACGTAGCTGAAATATATTGACCAGACCTCACACTAGAAAGTGAAGGGACGACGACGTTTCGGTCCGTCCTGGAGCATTCTCAATACGAAACGTCGTCGCCCCTTCACTTTCTAGTGTGCGGTCTAGTCAACAATCGCAGATGTATTTTCAATAAAATTTATGTTCCTTTTCAAGGTTTACTTAAAAACAATGAACTAAATTCCTTTGTTACAGTGATGAAAATAGCGAGTATGCAGACAATGAGTCATAATAACGTGGCTTAAGATATGAAGATTAAACCACACACCAGAAAATGAGGAGAGACAACGTTTCGATCCGCCCTGGACCATTATCAGGTCGATTTTGATAAGTCGAGGTTGATGTTGTTTTTATTCCAAGTAGCGAATCTTAAACAACAATTTCCAACTAGCACGGGCTATGCCCGTAGTATACCGTAGCTACGTAGAAGCCCGTAGTGGACTTACTTGGCACAGGAGAGGGGCTGTGTGTGAGACGAGGGAGACAAGATTATAAAGTAAGGTAAGAGAGAGGTGAGGAGGAGGAAATCCTTAGGAGGCGAAAGGTACAGATGGGATAGGTGCAATAATGGGAAGTAAGGGGGTAATAATAGGTGTAAGAACAAGAACGTAAGAAAAAGAGAAAGAAAACGAATTAGAAAAAAGCTGGGTAGGCTTATGTTAGGTCACGTTTGTTAGAAAGTTTATAGCATTTGCGTCTGTACTGTGAAAGGGAAGAGTCAACAGCAACAAAGCCAGGACTCAGGTTCATGGTGGGTAAGTTGTGTGTCAGAGCCGATTCGACAAGACGGCGTCTGTGAAGAGTAGAAGCAGGAAAGATTATTTTAGAAAAAAAGACCAATCAATAAGATAATTAGAATCCATAACATGACAGAAGAAAGCATTGTTTGAGTCTGCAGACTTAAAACTTCTATTGTGTTCCTTAAGTCTGTTATTTTGTGAACGGCCAGTTTCTCCAAAGTATTGGAGAGGACAAGACGAACAGGAAATAGAGTAGACACCAGCAGCATTAGAAGCAGGAGGAGCTGTGTGAGCCAGATTAGTACGAAGAGTGTTAGTTTATCGATAGGCGAGCTTTTTGTCAAGAGGACGAAAGATATTAGTGAGAATTTTTAGTTCATATATGAAGGGAGCTCAGTGCTAATAGTGTTGAAAACAGGTTTGAAATAAAAGAATTTTTTTTTAGCTTGAGAACAAGTACAATTGATAAAATGAAAGGGGTAACCAAGGCGAGAGAAAGATTTGTAAATGAAGTAAATTTCAAAATCAAGAAACTGAGGGGTCACTGATGCGTCGAGCGCGGAGGAAGAGAGAGACGAGAACACTTTTTTTTTTGAGATATATTCAAGAGTTGTTACATTCTTGTACAGTCACTAGTACGCGAAGCGTTTCGGGCAGGTTCCTGGAATACGACCCCCACGAAGAATCGTTTTTACAACTAAATACCCATTTTACTGTTGAGTTAAACAGAGGCTACAGTTAAGGATTTGCGCCCAGTAAATCCTCCCATGCCAGGATACGAACCCATGACAAAGCGCTCGCGGAACGCCAGGTGAGTGTATTACCACTACACCACTGAGACTGTTCTTAACAGAGGGAGGATGGTAGGTAAAGAAGTGAATGGACCTACCACTATGCATGGGTTTGTGATAGACAGAGAAAGAGAAACCACAGTCAAGTTAATGTCCACAGAGCTGTGGACATGAACGTCACGAAAAGGAAGGAGGGAATTAGATTCCCATTCTACTTTGAAATGGACAGAAGAAGCCAGATTGTTAAGAGAGGACAGGAAAGGCTAAAGAACATTAAGATCATGAGGCCGTAAAGCAAAAATTTCATCAACATTGCGAAGCCAGAGAGAGGGACGAACATCAGTAGTGGAAAAAAACGCTTTCGAAGTATTCAATATAGAAATTGGCAAGAACTGGGGAGAGAGGGGAACCCATAGCGATACCGAAAATTTGAGAGAAGTTTTTTCCGTTGAAAGAGGAGGAGTTAGAGTCAACACAGAGTCTGATGAGTTCGAGGAAAAGGCCTGTATGAAACAGGAGATGATGAACGCCCTCAGTTGCCTTCTGTCTAAGGAAACAGAGAACGTCTTCAAAAGGAACATTAGTAAACAGAGAGTAGGCTTCAAGAGCAAGAATCTTACAGAAGGGATGCCGGCGCAGTCTATCTATGAAGTCCTGAGAGTGACGAAGGTTCAAGAGAAAAGGTGCCAAGGTAAGGTGTCAGAGTTTTAGCAAGCCAGGAGGAAAGAAGGTAGTCGACAGAGCCTCTTGAAGAGATTATAAGACGAAGAGGAACACCAGGTTCACGAGTCTTAAGTAAACCATAAAAATAAGGAAGAAAAGGGCAGATGACATGGAAACGCCAAATTAGATCGATGTCAGGAGGACAAAGACTAGAGAGCTGTCTTAGTTTGGGGTTGAAGGAAGTTTTAAGGCAATCCAATGAGTTAGAAGTCAGAGGGACATTTGTGCAGGAGTCAGGGAGCAAGACATCAAGTTTCAGGAGGTAGTCCACACTGTCAAGGTCAACCACCGAATTGCCTTTGTGGGACGGAAGGATAAGAATAGAGTTGCTAACTTTCAGTGAGATAGAGCAAGCTGTAAGCGACGAGGAAGGTGGTGATTTTTAGAAAATAAATGTCAAGAACAGGATGAGAGGCCCCCCAGAAGGAAGACAGGTCCGAAAGAGTACTAGAGTTAGAGATGACAAACTTATCATAGGAACTAATGAGGTCAATGCCACAGCGTGGGCCAGGGGAAGTAGCATAAAAGAGACCAAGTCCAAGAAGTTCTTGCTGGTGCTTAGAGAGAGGAGGAAGAAAAAAGCATGGTAACACAGTCAGAGAGAAAGTATTTATCCCAAGTACTGTTAGAAATCAGACGTTGAAATTCGTTGTGTAGTGTGAAGGAGTGGTAGGAAGAGGAGAGGTGAACAGTGTCTAAAACGATTGGAAATAGGATATTGCATGGATCACTGCAAAGAGAACATCACAGACAGCGTTGATGTTGACGGACTGTTAGAAAAGCATCGTCAACTTGCAAGATGGTGGAGTAAATAAGTTATCGAAGAAGAAGAAGAAGAAGGCGGGCATGTTCAGGAAAAGGAGAACCCGATGTGTTACATGGGAGAAACTGAGGTAAGGAAACAGGGAGAACTTGCTCCGCCAGACAGTCTTTAAGAAACCCAAGCTGGTTCTTGTGACGTTAGGCGATAACAAGAGAAGACTCAAAGGCGCGAAACGGCTGTTTAAAGGAAGGTAGGTTATCGAAGAAATTAAAATGATTAAAACACTAGCGTTTCACATCCATATGCACATGATTAGTCTCAAGATGTGAAGACTAAACCACACACACCAGAAAATGAGGAGACGACAACGTTTCCATCCGTCCTGGACCATTATCAAGTCGACTGTCATGAGATGAGGTTGTTGTTATTGTTTACAATTCAGCTACTCGGAACCAAAAAATCCAAGTAGCACGGGCTATGGTGAGCTCATAAGTAGAGGCTCTTTGGAGTCATTATCTGTATCAGTAGCAGATACTGTAGATCTGGGAATGGGGTCCGTGGACGCGTCAATCCAATCCAAGAGCAGGACTGCAGATGATGATTGATAAAGAATAAGCCACAATAAAGGTGGCACGGGCATGAATAGCTTGTAAGTGGAGTCTCTTTGGAGCCATTACCAGTACCAATAGCTGATACTAGAGATCTGTGGATGGATGGGGGGTCTGTGGTGTTTGTGTGTTGCTGAGGAAGTCTTGGTTGTAGGGTTGATATAAAGCCATTTCTTGGTTACTGACTTTAATACTTAAGATGATACATGACTAGCAGCTTCCAAGCTGGTGGCGTCCTGTATGCTTTCTTCTGTCATGGTCTCTGCTGGCGTCTGAGCCGCAGCACATACAAACGGATGGTAACGTTTTCTATGAACATGACATCCCTCCTTTTCTTTAAGAAGAATGAATACAGGATGTCTACCATGCTTGTAGCGCAAAGCAAAGTTATTAACACAAAGTAAGTTATTAACATATCAAGAGATATTGCATACATTTAACATTAATTAAGCACACAAAGAATTTAAACAACTTAATCTTTACCACACAAGATTTCAATGTTAAAAATACATATGCAATGTTAAACAAAAATGAAAGAAACTGCAATACAAATTTACAAAATATTGAATGAGAGATCTGCATTATTCAAACAATATTAAATTTAGTTCAGCATAACAAGTAAATACTTTGCATTACATAGGAACACAATTAATCATTAAATCGTGTAGGGCGTTTAACATGACGTTTAGGACGAGAGTCCTTAAATACAAGAATATCCCTTGATGAATTGTTTGTTGGGTTATAACTCA